CCGATGTTTTACCTAAACTAAGAGGTCAGCAGGAAAACTGACAGTTGGCAAGCGTCCGACTGCTAGGTCAGTGACCGGGCGCAAGGACCAAGACATATGGTCAGACGCTGGCACTCACCGATGATTCGTTCGCTGCAATGACATGTGCTCACGAAGAATATCCAGATTCAGTAGTTCCATCGCGACGAGACTGGACCTTAACGTGATGTGGCGGTTCGCGTACCACTTCGATTTATTGAGCTACACTGGGTGGTGCCCCGAGTCCCTTGAGAGCCACTCATACCGAAATGTTCAAAGGTCAGAGGTAAAACAAATCCAGTCACTTGATCCTAAAAGCTGAGGACTGGAAAAAGGATAGTGTTGATTTCTGTAGAACGGAATCGTTGCCGCTTTTCGCTGCTTTTGAAGCAAAAGCTTTAGTTGCGGACCCTAATCGTTCTCCTGCCTAGGTCAAGGAGTCCTGGCATTATCTCAGCCGAAGTACAACTATGACTACTTCTCAAACCCCAACCACACCTTGCATCGGCCGTCGCGCAACTTATCAAAGGTCGTCTTATCTACTGCATACAACAGGGCCGATAAGCGAGAACATGCTGTTTCTTACGCCTCCTCTCCGGATCAACAGCAACAACCTTCCACAGCATCCACGATGCCGCTGGAGTCATACTATCTGCAGCTATCTTCCCGTACCACCTACATAACGCACATTGGCAAAAGTCCTTTATAAGCCCACGCTGCCGCATTTCCTTGGTGGGGTTTAATGTTCGTATACTATGACAAACAGGTCAACATGTTGCGCACGCACGCATGTTGGACACCCTGGGTATTGAAATGTGTTGTGTCCAAAAATAAAATCATTAACCATCAAGTGGTGTAAGTAAGTAACCGCACTTGGTTTGTTTTTTCGCCATTGATTGCACGCATCCGGAGACGCTGTGGCAATAACTGGTCAAATTGTGTGCGCATCATTCTTAGCCCCAAGGCTGAATCATTGTTGCATTATCCAATTGCCATGAGCAGCCCGTTTGACTGCATCAACTAAAGTTGATTTACAAAGTAGTGCTAGACGCTGTTTATTTGTAGTTTTTGATTATGCCTCAACGGAGTGCAGTTCTAATGCTAACAAGGATACTTACTACCACGAGATGAGCGTGCTGCTTTGCAGGTCTATTAGTTTATATATCGCAATGGCTGCAGCAGTCTTTTGGTGTTAAATACGGAATTAATTACATCCAAATGAACATCGAATGTCTGTTGTAACTGCGCGAAGGACCACCTTTTTCTTAGTAGCATCACCTTTGGACACAGTGGGCGCCGAATTACTACCTAGCGTCTTCCCATGACCGGATCACACGACTGCTTTGTAATAGGGAGATCGCGGATGCAACCCTGTGTAGATGTAGAGGCGACCATCTCAGTATCCTTAGCCCACACACCACTGTGAGTGGCTGTGTAGCAGTGAAGCGTCGGCACTGCGCGCGTTTCCTTTTTCCTAATATGACTGGCCAGCAATGGACCCAAATAGATCACTCTGCCATAAGCTATAAGTGACATGGATCCAGTGTAAATGATCAGTTATCCCTGAATATCTGTGTCGATCCTGATTATGCTTCGGTACGCTGCAGTTTAGGTATAAACTTTATCGCGGACAAGCAAAAACCAAAACACGGAAATGAATACAATACATTGTTCCTAAAAGCGCCAGTATCATCGCAAAATTACTGATATGATTAGCTCTCTTGAACTGCAACGAACTGGAATGCAACAACCACTGGACCACCGGCCGAGTGGTCTGCTCGCCTGGCTTGCAATCATAAGGTTACCGGTTCGAATGCACGTACAGGTGGGCGTCCTTGCGGCATACTCAGCCCGCGCGCGACTGGTGATGTCGCGTGGAAGCGAAGCGCCGTTATGGCGTGCAGCTGACGCACCAAGCGTCTCCCTTGATTGGTAACTGAAATGTTATTCCATTTATAAATCAAGCGAGCTTATCAGGATTCCTTGTGTAACCAACTTCCGCCATCTTTCTATAAGGACAGTTTCATTGAGATAGTATCTTGGCTATCATGCATGACGCGGGAGCCTCAGCTTGCGGCACTATCCATCGTCACAGCACCAGTCGGTGAACCTGTTGGGATCCAGAAAACTCCCTGCCGACCCTGCGCACAATGCAACTAGGCGGACTATCAAACGCAAACCAAAACGGAGCCTGTGTGCTGACAATGAAGTTTGATGGACCAGTGTGGTCCAAGAAACGGAGGTAGGAGCAATAGGCAATTATCGCAACCTCTTCCAAATGACTCGCATAACTAGTCCCAGAAAACCAGGTGCGAGCGAAACAACCAGACAGTGCCGGTGTCCTGAGTCACAATAGGGAGCGCCGAATGGCTTGCCTAGCGGAGCGCTTTCGTGAGAAGCTCAGGTGGCCTTCTGCCGCGGGACCAAATACCACTCGGGTGGCGCAGGCTAAGCAATGTCTAATTAGTTTAGAGACTGAGGTCCGAAACGAGATCACAGCGCTGAATCGCTTTTTAACTGCTGGCCCGGATTCTCTCACAGCCGCACTATCTGAATATGTCAGTGAGGTCCTCTACAAACGCTGACCTCTGTTCGAGCAGGTCTGGAAGTAAGAGGTCATCCCAACTAGCTAGAGTTGAGCAAATGTTAGCGGCAATATACAAGTATGACATTGGTTGTGACAAAATTATTAGCCCCAATTCTTGTTCGTCGCTTCACTGCGGAACGGAAATTCCAGGACTAGCGGAAAGGTTTCCGCTCAGGACAGGGTTATATAGACGTTGCGGCAGATGATAGGGCAGTGCCATGTTACGCAGGACGACAATAGCCGTGTCCCTGGACTTCAAGAGTGCGTTCGACTCAGTTGATTGAACAATTCTATCCGAAATACTTGAGTTGAAAGATGTTCCCACGCGTCATGTACTTGAACGCCACGACAAGTAGCGTTCGTCAGGTTGCCCAGTTTTCCCATTTTTGCTCAATTTCGATGTAGAGTTCCTTTGCGGGATCTCACGATGCAGGCATTAAGGTGCTGCCTGGCAGGAAACTAGTTGATCCTGATTATGCGGACGATCTTGTTTTGCAGTTCAACGATATTGGGGCGGCGCAACCAACCCTGAATAACCTTGCTAGAGTGATCCTACAATTCGGCATGGGCTTCGCACCTTCAAAGTGTTGTTGCAGGATCACCAGCCACTTGATGACCAGTTTACCTTTGGTAACAAGGAACTCGGGGCAGTTGATTAAGTCACTTACCTCGGCAGCTGCATCAGCAACGAAGGGCGCATAACCACTGAAGTCAGTTTATGTATTGCAAAAGTCAGAATAGTTCTCTTGAAGCTGGGACATTTGTGGCGTCAGGTTTCCTTCTGCACGAAAGAGCGCGTTTACAAAGCCACAGTGAGGACCTTCATACTCTATGACAGCGAGATGTTGCCTCTCCGGTCTAAGGCACGCTCAAATATCATTATCTGCGAAGCATCGCTGATGTCGGATGGCACCAGCGTGTCCGCAACAATGATGGCGTAGGGGAGTGCCAAGCAGTCTAGTTCCTTAGAACGGCAGATAGCACCAAATAACTTGTGTTGTCTTTGGCATTTACTACTTATGCCAGGTCACTTATTTACCGATTAGGGTTGTGTTTTGTTTGTCAGATATATGGTGTCGCAAGTCTCCAGGTGGGCAAAAGCTAACTTGGAGGCGAGATATGAAGTCATTGACTACAGAACTTAGCAGTGCTAAAGTCCATGCGATCTAGCCTATGCTTGGACCGAGACGTTGCAGTAGATGGTTTGCAGTCGGTACCAGTTGTGCATCTGCCGCCGTCTCCTAATCGAGCTGTCTGCTCAGTGTTTGATGCTGCGGTGGTAATCGTTGTTTAGGACGCGGGACAGTGAAAGCCACAAAAAGACTGTCGCGCCAATGCCACCTTATCGTTACACGATAGCCAGTTTGTGACGGCACGTTGTTGACGAGTAGGCACCTTGACCCTGAATATTTGCCTGGGGCATCCGGATTTTCACTGTCTTATTATTCTTCGTTCCTTAGGTCACCGTGGTTGCACGGCAGCGAACCATCAATCCAAATGGCTGTAATGCTGTCGCTGATCATGACGATAGGGAAAACAAGGCCCCATCACTATATAGAAATATTAACCATTGCTTGAATACCGCTCGATAGTATGCCGCAACTCAAGGCAGCATGATCGCATTGCTATACAGCAAGCGTAGCGAGCGTTCACCGCTCAAAATTAGCTGACTATGAACGACATGATGTGCATAAGCTTGATCCATTATAGCTACTACGCTTAAAGGTAAACCCGATGGTTTTCAACATTCTACACAAAATGGCACATAAATGTAGCATCTATGCGTCACTTTTATAACCAACTGGATACCATACAAGCAATCAAGTTCTGAAGTAGAAAAAAGTCAAGGAAGCAGATCAGCAAACGTTTTTCTGATCCGATACTCCAGAACATGGAACAAATTTGGCTGGTACCTGTATCAGCATATCGGAGTACTTTAGAAAAAAAATTGGAAAAACACTTGACAGTCGGTAAGGTAATTACCCTTCTGGGCCAAATGAGACGTGAAAGTGCGGAATCTTTTGAGGGATAATCTTGCAAGGAAGCAAGTCCGCAGGAGACGGTCCCATGGACGATCGTATTAGTTGAACTGACGGCTATACCTAAAATTATTCTCCATCTTTTATTAATTTTAGTTGATAGAACACTACTAACACTCCATTGAGACCGTTGTCAAAGGCGAACAACTTCCTCCACTATTCGATTTGCAAAATGATCAGGCCACGTAATCGACCTGTCTAGCAATATACCATTTGTTTAGTATTTATTTATTTACTCATCAACTATGAGCAAGGCCCGGACAGTACACAACCGAAAGTTGCATAGGTTCCTGTCGATAGGATAAAAACAGTTGTTCTTCAATTTAGTTTTGTTTTCTATTGTATTTTTTAGTTTTACCTGTTCCAAAGGCCTATAGTTGACTTGCGGTCCCTCTGGCCGGCAGGTCGAACATCCAGGCTTTAATAGATCTTATCCAGCCCTTCCACTGCCAAGATGCGTTAGTTGAACCACTAGCAAAGTGGCTGGCTAGATCCAAAAATCAAGTTAATTATGTCTTCACCTACAACTTTACTTCGTTCTACCAGTTTTCACACTTGCTATTCGCTCGTGAATTCCCGACACGTTAGTAGGTTGGACACAGTCCCGTTAAGACTCCAAGCCAGGTTGTCTCTCAACCTACCATTTCGATTCTGCTTGGTCTTATTATTCGCTAGTAAAACAACCGTCATTCGAGCCCGGTTCAACAGGTCGAAAAAAGTTCGTTGACCTTGTGGCTCGATTACTCGTCCAATCCTAATTCCAAGTATGCTTCGCTTTTTACATTGATGTTCTTGTTCTCCTTACCACACAAGTTAGTCAAAAACGTCGCTTTTAGTATTGATTCACAATTGCTGAATGGATGCGTCAAAGTTTTCCACAAACTATACCCACCCTGCTCTAAGTAGTATCCAAGACCCCTATAACTTTTCTTCACATTATACAAAAGTAAGTTATTTTCAACATATTTGCAATGCCTGGTTTACGATCTAATTAGGTTCATTGCATATCTTCCCTTTACGGCGTTCAGGACCGTAATCCACTCGAAATTATGATACTCATCACCAAAGAATGATGCATTTTCAGAGGAAATATCTGCTGCTAATTGGGAACAAAGTGAACAGAAATTCCTCGCAATTGACCAGTCATTGTCTACTAAGTTCCCAATGAAACTTGTAGATACTCATCAGACCAGGTTCACCGGACCGTCTCACGTGTCCGAGAAATACACACTAATATGGACAAAAGGAATATATCAGACAGAATTTGTGACGAACAACAATGCGCCTTGCGTCACTCATACTGTCACATGCCAGACACAGTGTGTCATGTTCAGTGATGTTGGAGGGAGTCGAATGATGCGACTTAAGAGTGATGAATCCATGCGCCGATTAAATGGGACAGATAAGAAATGCTTAGTAAGGGAGCTTAGTAAAATTCGCAACACGCGAGCTATAATGAAACGCATAAAAGGGCCAAAGGTACGCAGAGCAGGGGTGTCAATAGACTAGTCTGATCCAAGTCTATCAAAACGCATTTATAGCACACTAGCTGCAGAGCAAAGGACCAGTTCTAAGCAAATCCGTTGCTTAAGTGAAGAGTACCTTGCTGTCGGTGCATGAACTATAGTGATGGAGGAGTCAGCACTGATGACGCCATAGCTTATTGGAGAGACTGTGAAGTAGCAGTGCACCAATCCAGTATGAGCACGAGTGTGACTGATAGTAATCGTTAGGGTACAGTGAACACGCAAAATGGTAGACACGGAGCTGAGGCGGCGAACTGACAAGGACCGGAACAAGTTAGTGCCTGGCAAAACAAAACGACCGAATGCTAAACGCGAACAATCGAACTGGGTAGTGTTATTTATAAACGGCTGGTGCGAATCACTTTTCAAATACGACTCGTATAGCAATGTGCGACGATAAGACAGTTGCACGATGTGACCGCGGACGCAACTTTGAAAAAATTAACTGAACGATAATCAGGATGCAGGACGAAAACAAATTTGGTCAACAGACTAGCTTCAGGGGGGAGACGCGCCGGTTTTTCAACATTAAAAGCATTCAACTCGTCTGGTGACCTTAATGGCCTAGCCGGCCAAGGACTTAGACGGACCGATCCTCATCCGAGAACATCACAAGACAAAAGCGGTAAAAAGATAATCTGTACATGAGTAAAACACTCTACAAGTTAATTGTCAAAGGACAGCATAAACGGATGTTCAAGGGCACGAGAACAAGTGATACGAGAGGGTGGAATAAATGAGAGCATCTCTCGAATAAGATCAAAAGCTAAACGTGTGTACATGTCCGAATAGGAAAACCAATACTCGCCAAGTGGCTTGAGGGTTTTGCGAACGTGACGTGCATCTGACGTATCATCAGGCCAATCGAGACGGCCGTGGCGGAAGTATCTACGGCGCCTAGAGGCTCTGATCATCGACTTTGGGATGGGACCTAACACTCGTTCCATCATAGCCAAATGTTCGAGGTTGTCATGCGTCATGAAGAGACACTGGCCGGTAACAAGCTCGAACAACATGCACCCAACAGACCAAACATCGGCTGAGCAGTCCCAACCAAGCTCCATCACCACCTCAGGTGCGCGATAGTGCCGTGTCTGGATGGTAGTGGAGTGGTGATCACCATCAAAAGCCGCAGATCCAAAATCAATTATTTTTATCGATGGATCTCTGATATGCATGACGCTTCGACGACGCGTGCTGCTAGGTACTTCGTCGTATGATCCATCTACGAACAGAACATTCTCCGGTTTTAGATCAGTGTGAGTGATGCCAGCGTGGTGGAGAAAATCAACCGCCTCGCAAATTTGCCGAGTGATGGACGCCACGTGGTGAATGGGGTACGGTTCATAATTATTTTGTTCAAGGAAGGAAAAGATGCTTGGTCCGAGCAAGGGGAAAACAAGGAAAAAATGACTGTGCCAATCAAAAAAATCAAGCGAGTTAATGCAATGACAACAGCTGTTGGAGTCTATTCTTGAGATAGTCTCTAGGACATTTAATTCATGTCTAGCCACATCTTTATAGTCACTCTGTGGCTTCAATGCTTTCACCGCCGTGAGGGAGTTAGTGCACAGATCAAAACATTCAAAGACTTGCCCATAGCTACCCTCTCCTATAATCTTCTGTACACGATAACGGCGCTTGATGACATCTCCGACGGCAACGACAGGTGATGGCTTGCGTTTGTGACCCTCATGGCTCAGCTTCCGGCGTGCCCTCTCATTGCGTCTTTTCTCATCCCTCCTTTCCCGTTTTTCCCGGCCGCCATCAACCCGCTCGGACCGTTTAGGTGGAGTAAGGTGGTGCCCGTTACGGATCTGACCATGTAGGGAGGGCTCTCGAGAACGATAGCCACTTCGACTACGACGGCGGTTTGTCAGGGCACGAACGGTATTGGAAGGTAAGTTGTCATAACTACGGTCGATGCCAGGTAGAGCAGCATCGTTGCGACTGCCTCGTGACCGAGCCTGCCGTTCGGAAACGTGAACCGTCTTACTTGCGCCGACCGCGAGGTTCGACTTAGGATGTGATACATGAGAGCTACGTCTCCGCCTGAACCAATGAGACAAAAACAATCACATACTAGTTCAGAAAAGCAGAAAAATAAACGTAGCGTAAAAATATAGAAAAAGGGTTTATTTTGTGTACCTTTTCGAGTCAACTTGGACACGGGATCGCTTAGGATCGGAACAGCCATATCCAGATGACGTCCTACCGGATGAGGAAGACCGCTTTCTGTTGCCATTAGAACTGGAAGCCGAAGAACTCGAGGACGCAGAAACGGAAGCAGGTTTCACCTCAGTACCACGGAATCTAGGGTTGAAACAACATCGGTGATTGCTTTTGGAACGACGACATCGGCTTTTGGAATGACGGAAGGTATCCATCCGACTGCCACAAGTGAATGATGGCCGACGCAGCTGGTGAGTAAAACAAAATCAACTCAACAGAACCAATGATTATTTAGTAACAACATATTATTAATATTTATACTGCAAGTTTTTTGGGAAGTTGTGTATTGCTTAGTTAGGTTGGATTCCATGGACGAAATAAGCCACCACCTAAAAAGCGTCCTATTTCTTGTAATGACAAGCGAATCAGGGACTTCAGTGCATTGATCCTTGAGTTGGTTCCCTCGTCCATAAGTGTACAATAATAGCGAGAAAACTCCAATCACACTAAGCTAGAGCTTTTTGTTAGCTTCCATAGTGGCAATCCCAACCAAGACTGAAGGAAGCGTGTTCCAGCTGTGAACTACACGGTTCTTAAAGTATCTGGCTATTTCTATTCTGGCTATCCGATACAAAACTGAATTCTTCGTTGCTCTAAGTGCGAGTGTGGTGCACGATTGGTCAGCTTTATGAGACAAAGTAGCACGACAGAGCACTTCGCGGTCAGACAATCAAGAACCACGCGCTCTGCGCTAGCAGACCCCACTGCGCCGGCCACGTGCAATAAGAAAAGGAAGAATGAACTTGTAGTCTAGGCTCAAAGTGGAAGATATACAAACTTTGAAAAGAAGGTTAGTAACAATAATTTAGAAGGAAAGGTATTGAAGCTCAATCGAAAACAGAATGAAAGTGAGAAAGGGATGTATCGTTGTTGCAAGTTGCGTGTGTCAAGGCGGCGTTCAAACACTCACGGTGGGTAAAAGGCGACGTCCTCTGGTAGCCCATTCCGGGAAACTTTCACTCTACACGACAAACGGGCCGACATTCCTTTGTCGCGTAGAGTGATAGATTCCTGGAATGCGCTACCCGGGGACGTCGCCTTTCATCCACGTCGCTTTGACGCCTTCACCTTGCTGCATGTGGCCGGCGCAACGAGGTCTGCTAGCGCAGAGCTTGTGGGTCTTGTTTGGTTGTCCGCGACATGTTCTGTAGTGCCAAATTTGACTCATCCAACCAGCCAATCGTACATCACACTCGCACGTGGCGCAACGACGCATTCAGGATGAAACAGACATTAAAATATCTTTTTGTTCCTACCACAGTTGAATTTAAGCCCATGTCCTGCAGTTGGTCGGAAGCAGCTGGTGCAAACAGGTCGGAACGCTTGATCCCAAGTAACCCCTTTATACTTTTTCACATTTCTATTAGCTCATCTCCCTGTCTGCGTCGTTCGATGGAAAACAATCCTAGGCTGCTATACCGTTCGTCATATGACTTTCCACGTTGGCCCAAAATCATCCTAGTAGCCAAATTTTAGACCTTTTCTGTGCAAGCAATATCCTTCCGGAGACACGATGCCCAAGCCTGCACAGTGTTCTAAGTGAGGCCGTACTACCGCCTTATATAAGGGAGGGAAGTCCTCAGATGTATTGCTGCACAACGCTCTCCTAACACGAAAAAGCTCCTGGCTCACTCTGTTATTTGCGTTTTGACACTGCGCTGATGGTTTAGAGTCACTCGTCACAATGATGCCAAGATGACGCGCTTTAACAAAGCAGCCCAAATTCATGGTGCCGCCACTGGTTATTCTGTGACCCCTTTGATGCTGGAGGAACACAGCTGACATATTTTTATACTAATAGGCAAGTCCCCCAAGGACGACTACACCGCCGCGGTGCAAAGACCTTTCGACAGCATGTCACGATTGTCCCTGTTTACGCACTTTACGGCGTCTGCAAAACTATGAGTTGCGTCTTCATGGTAACGATCGAAGTCATTAATATACATAAGGAACAACAGCTGGCCCAGTACAGAAGCTTGGGGAACTTCACTATGAGCGTTGCTTGTGCTTTTGCTGCAGTCACTAATGTTAAAAAAGCAGGCGCTGCTGCAATGAGATTATACTACCCAATTTAATAATTAGTATATATCCCAAACCACGCCAGCTCTTCCAGTAAAACACCATGCTTAACCGAGTCAAACGACGTGCTAAAGTCTAGTTAGCAAACTTCTACTCAAATCCCATTGTCCAGACAGCGGGTTCGTTCACCTAAAAGGCATTGTAGGTTATTGTAGCATGACTTTTCTTGGTACATCCATGCTGCTCTGTGTCTATCAAGTTATGAGCAAATAAGTGCATGCCCATTAGGTGCTTGATCAGCTAAATCGACTTTTGGGCAGAAGATTGGTACTGCTAATAAGCCTATAGTTGTCAGGGACAAATTTAGAGCCCCTTCGTGTGCTAATAATACAACTTCCTCCTTCCAGTCGGGTGACAGCCAAACTGCCCGAAGTGACATGTTGTACTGGTACAAGACAGGAAGCTAAAGCGTGTTATCGAGCTGCTTGACAAAGACAGGATGCAATTATCAAGTCCAGCCGATTCGCAGTAGTCTAAGCCTGCCAAAACACCAAGGATCTGTGGTGTAGTTGGGGTAGCGTATAACACCATACGGTCAGTCTGACGATGATGCTGCGAGGGGATAGCACATCTAGTATCCGCACTTTGCAAGTCCTGATTGACAAGCTGCAACAGACCCTCCATGCCAAGACTACTGTCATGCATTATCAAATTACCGACGCACTGTCTCAAGGAAGCCATCTCTTGAACATTACCAGCACGCGTCTTCGGTCTCGCTTTAGCGTTCCGAGCTAAACTAAGCTCATAGAAGAATTTTGCATGTCGCTGCATGGTGAATGTTACGTTCCCACATTGCTTATAATTTAGCCAACGCTTAAACTCTCCAAGCCCCTGAAACGCTCACCAGAAAACGGTGCGCGTCTTCGTCGCCCGATCAATTCCACGGCTGCACCACAGGATTTTAGTGGGTATCTCCTGGAGCAATTCCGCTGTAGTCGGCAGTTTTTCTAACACTTGTAGCGGCAAAATAATGCGGAAAAGCTAGAAAAGTAGGTTACAATCAGGTGTTTGGTAACTAATAAAAGGTTAAAGGGATTACAGAACACGTTAACTATTTGCAACCGTGGTTTTACCGGACGACATATTGAGTTTCTACTTAAGTGGTCTGGACCAGTCTAGTCCGTTATGTCTGCTGTGGATTGGAACCTTTCTGTCGGTATGTGGTTTTGTAAGGTTTTCATAGGCTGCTTGCTCATGCAGCAGCTCTGCAAGGTCACGGCGCGCTTGCCGTGTTTCATCCTACAGGCTGTATTCTTGAAGGCTTTGCGTGGAAACTGTTTTCAAAACCCTGAACAAAAAATATAACTAAATATTTTACTGTGTTCTATGGGGGAGTGGAAGTGCCCAACATACCTAAGAATATCAAGTACCGCAGATCCCGGCATGCTTATTCGGTTTTGTTTCACCAACCTTACTTACTAAAAGCTTAACTTGCAAACAGGGTTTCAAGAACATGAGCATCATCTTTCGTGTTTTGGAGTTTCTTGCAACTCACAATTTCCTCGTAGTGCATTCGTGTTTCACCGTTCGAGTATAGCGCGATGATTGTGCGCTATATATCTGGTACGAGATTAGACGGCCAACCAAAAGCAATGGTAGGAATACACAAAAGTTGAGCTAGGAAAAAAGCTTATTGAACGGGCATGGGAGCTAGCTAATTATAAGCAGAGTGCACCAGGTGCGCGCTAGCTTTAAAGTCGTAGTTTCGCAAAAAGTGCGTGGACGGAGGGTCGTTCCCAGTCGAGTCGCGCGCGCCGAAGGCGGATATCGCGTTTGCTTTTCAAACGAACGAAGCAAAGGTTCCAACAAACAAGCCATATACTTCCCTAATACATGAGAAAGCTATAATATTAATACATTTTAGAATAGTTTACAGTCATACGGTGGAAACAATAAGTCACTACACAGTCCCTGCTAGAAGGGAAACCGTGGGTGACCCTTAGACCGGCATAAGGACTGTCCGTCGCGAGCCATCCTTTGGCGAATCCATGTAGTGTAACTGGCTGCAGCTGCTGGGGTGCACAAAGCTACCGAACCCTGCCGAGCTCATACCCGTGACCGCCGTAAATGTGCCAAAAACGCAAACTGGGGAACTCCCTAGGCGTCAAATTTTCGCAAGTTCGTGAAGATCAAGTGTTCGCTTCAAGCTCGTCATCTCCGGTTCATACATGGGAGCTAAAAGGAAAAAAGAGCAGTGACGGTGGAGGTGAGGGCAAACATATAAGTGAAACTTACAGGAAGAGGCAAGCGTTAAGCAAAACGCAACACCATTTATGTGTTTTCTAACGTTTTCTTCTTTTTTGGGTTTTCAAACTTTTTGCGTCCTTCCAGGGTTTTCAAATCTTTTGTCAGTTTTTCGTAGTTTTCAAAAGCATTTTCCGATTCTTTATGTTTTTGTAGGTTGTTGGTCAAAAGAGAAAAGGGAAGCGAGAAAAGCAAAGTGGTAGGAATACTAATCCCTTAATCGTGCTGACCAATGTGTGCGCCTCCCCGACCTATTTGACGTGTGCGTAGCAGAGAAAGGCGTCGCCTTAGACGTCCCATCGGATTGCAAATTTGGAGGACTACCATTGCTTCGATGGGCAACAGCAGAGCTGAAGCGGATGACTTGGATTGTGAGTGATATTTGAGGTCAGGGATGTTGGAAGCAAGCGAGTCTTTCATCATAGGCTGGGTTGATGCTTCAGAAGACGAGCAAGTGTCACCCTCGAGCTCCGCTTCCACGTGGGCAACATTGAGAAGGTCAGTCGGAACGGCTTCTCCTTTACCGTGACGGGCGATGATATAGACGCGCTCCTTAAGCTGCAGAACCTTGAACCGACCTTCGTAAGGTCGCTCCAGTGGTATGCGGTTACCATAGAGGCGGGGAAGATGCGAACGCACAATGTTGCAGGCCCTGTGAAACAAAAGATTTACGTCGTTGTTCTCTAACCTCGGGCAGGTTGTAGTGAAACCTGCTCGTGGCTAGCTGACTAGCATAATTCGCGTCTCAAAGGGGAATTCTGAGACTATCGGAAATGAAACTTGCCTGGTAAACGCAGCGGTTGTCCATATACTAACTCGGCGCTAAACGTCGGTAGACTAGCCTTTAAGGCTGCTCGGATCCCCAGGAGGATCA